TTTGTGCCCTTCGGCTGGTGGGGTGTTTTCAAACTGGGGCGGTTGAAGGTGGTGGGCCACCACCCCCAAGATTTCCCGCGGCAGGTGGGGTGGGGTGGGGAATTCTGGGAGTTGAACTCCACACATCTTAGAGTGGCCAGGGTTGAGAAACACTGTGCTTGATGAATATATCAGAAACAATTCTGTTATCTCTTTTCCACCCACTCCAGCCCCACACCTCCATCCCCGGAAATGTTTCTTTTCTACATTTTCTCTCTGTGGGAACTCTTGGGAAGTTTTACTTTTTGTAAAAGAGCCAGGCCCACCAAATATCAGGTGCTTTTGCTAGCTTTTTACTTCTGCCAGTACGGTAATGGGAGCTCTGTCTTCCTCAGATGGTGGCTGTGGATGATGAGCACCGTAGTCCAGTGTGTGGTCGCAGATTGGGGAAAATCTGTGTGCAAAATGTGCCAAAATGCAGCCTCCCTTCTCTTTCTTCCCCCCCAACTCTAAAATTTGGAGGTCACCCCCTGGATTTGGTTGGGGCTAAATTCAGAATGGACCTTCATACAACCCAGAATTAACTTATAGAACTCACTGCCGCAAGACCCAGACTGGCACTGGCTAAGATGGCTTAAGAAAGGCATTCAGTGGTTTAACAGAGGGCAACTAATTGGTTAATTAGCGACAGTTAATAAATAAATAAATTAATAATTAATAAATTAATAGGCAGGTTGATGGTGTGAAGTGGGCGAGGCCCAGATTGTGAATAATTGTTGTTTACATTGTGCTTTAAATCTGTCCTAGGGGTTAAAACAATTGTTGCATTTTTTTTTCCTAATGGGAAAAAATAGAAAAGCTGTCCTAAGGGGAGCAGAGAATGTCTCTGGGGTCCTGCGTCCCTGGGCCGGTTGGTCTTTGGGGCCACCCTCCAGCCACGCTCTCCTGCTCTTTTCAGATGCAGTTGCTGACGTCGTGCGAGTGCACAATCTGTCCGGAGTGCTTTGCCCTGCACTTCACCATCGCCGTGAAGGAGAAACACATCACGGACTTGGTGTGCCCGGCTTGCTCCGAGCCGGAGATCAGCGATGAGACAGAACTTCTCAACTACTTCTCCACCCTGGATATCCAGGTGACGGCCCCCTGCTCCATTTCCCCATTTGGTGTGGGCCCCAGCTCCTCTCTGGGGGCCTGCAGGAATGGCAGCCTTTTGGGCCTTTCCATTCTTCTCCCTGCCCCTGGATGTTAATAACGCGGGAGAAACCAGGGAGAGTAGATTTTCCTGTTAAAGGAAGCTCTGATGTTCTCCAGTGGAGGTGCCTAGATGTACGGGGATTGCGGTTGACGGATTAGCCCACTGAGAATCTAATCCTGACACATCTAGAAGACGACAAGTTGGGAACGTAGTAGAATTGGAAGAGTGCCTCAAGCCTTCTATGTGCGGGAATCTAGATTAAAATATCCCTAGCTAATGGCCATCCAGGCTGTGCTCGAACTCATCCCCTATAGGGGGGCCCAGCATATCTCTGGGTCATGACAGCCATTGCCTGCCTGTACATCAAAGCCATTTCTATGGGATGATTGAGAAAAGGGGTTCACCTTCTGTCTGACCTCTCAGGTCTTTGCAAAATGCTGCTAACACGTTAACCAAAGTAAAACCTGACAATTTAAACCCTTGATGTCCAATCAAGGGCCTGTGTGGGGCAGGAGGGGGCAAAAGAGTCAAGATGGCAGGGGTTCAGTCATACAGGCAGGGACACCATCTTGCCTTTTTGAATCCCTGCCTGCAGATGTCCCTGCCTCCTGTCCCACCTTGGTGGAGGTGAAGGGACCAGATTCTCCAGACCTTCTTGGTGATTCTTTGCAAACTTTTGGGGGTGAATCTATAGGCCAGCCCCTTAATTATTTTCTCTTTATGGGCCTCCTTCACAGTTACGCAGCTGCCTGGATCAAGAGACTTATGAACTCTTCCACAAGAAGCTGACTGAACATGTACTCATGCAGGACCCCAAGTTTCAGTGGTGCACGCATGTGAGTAGCTACCAAGGTTGCTTTTGTTTTCAAATAAAAGGGGAACTGAGTCAAAAGCTCAGGTGCATGAAAAAGAGAAGGGAACACCCGCAAAAGTCACTGAATGAGTGGCATGTTTTTCTAAGAAACAGGGACCGAGGCTGGAGCTGGCCCCGCTGGGCTAAGTGCCTGTTTTTCCCAACCCAGAGCCCTCCAGGTGGTTTGGGTAACTGCAACTTCCATCATCCCACTAGTGAGGCCAGTTAGGGTGATGGGAGTTGTAGTCTCATTGATAAGTAGGTTTCCTGGCCGGGCAGCACAGATGACCTGCAGAGAGAAGTTAATCGTTCCCTGCGTTGACTGATTTCATTTGCTCGGTTTCTAAATAAACTTTGATCCATAATAAACATCAGTTCGCTGCCAAGTGGACTCAGAGCTGGTTGCTTCTACTGAAATCTCAAATGTCCAGCCAATCGGGGTGGCTTGCAACGACTCCATCCTGTTCAGTTTCAGTTTCACTTAAGGCCAGCCCCCGCTGCCACTTCCTGGAGTCGGGAAGGTCAGATTGTGGCCTAGGAAAAGGGGCTAACTTTTTAATCTCTCCCCCCGTCTTTAGTGCTCTTTTGGTTTCATTTATGAATCGGAGCAGCTGGAAGCCAAATGCCCACAGTGCCGCAAAAGTTTCTGTGTCCAGTGCAAACGCCAGGTTGGTAAGCCCTCTGGGTGATGGTGGCGGGGGGAGGAGAACCGTGATTCCCGGTTCTTTGCCCACCAGGTGGAAGTGGGTTGCAAGCTGGGTGGCTGAGATGTGGGCCAACCCGCCAGACTTTCCTTCAGACTTAGCCATTGTTGCTGTTTCATGCAGTTTGGAGCAAAACGCTGTTTAGCTGCTAAGTTCTCGATCCAAAGCCTGGCAGAATGACCTCACGTGTGAAATTCCACTCCAAAATGGTTTCCTTGGCACTTACATTATCACCCTTAGGGCATGTTCAGTTTCCTGTGCCTTTTTTAATGTCTCCAGAATGTTGGCGTTCTGCTTTTCCTTAGTTATTTGTGATTTTGTTATATCACTGCGGTCTTTTATTAGGACTGTGCAGTGCTTCAGATTCAGCGGCATCCAGGGAGGGTAAAAAAAAAATCAGGAGAGTGGCCACCACCACACAACTGAAGCCCTGCCTCTTTTTTGCTGGCAGAAAAGAGGCGGGGCTTCAATTGTGCTGCAGCAGTCACCATCTTGGCTGTTTTAACCCCTCTGGCGGACACCTGTTTGGATTAAAAAACAAAAAGAGTGCTTCAGAGCCTTACAGTACAGTTCCCTGCAACTTCATAAACCCAACATTTCCTTCCCTGGGATTGGAAGCCAGGGTGGAGAGCAGATGCATGATCCTGGGGAAAGATGTAGCTGCTTTAAAGGGTTGCAGAGAGATGCTCTGTTTGTGCTCCCATATGGCTCGTTATTAGCATATATGTGTGTGTTTTTTTGTACTTACTTTATTTAAAAAAAATTATGAGGCTGCTCCTCTCACAGTTGGTGACTCTGTGCAGAGTGCATCAATAAAAATCCAAACTTAGTAAGGTTTTTGAGGACGGAAACAGCCAGCTAGCAGACCATCTAGCAGCCTCTGGCAGCCAGCACCCAGAAAAACCATCAGGAAAGAAACAAGATTCTAATCAAGGAACTGTCAAGGAGGAGACCACACCCCACCAAGACTGAAAGCAAGCTACTATATATATAAAACAGCCAGCAGACCCCACCCTCCTTCACACTGATGATATAGCCTAGCCTGGTGGTGAAACGTCTGCAGGGAGAACACCAGGAACTCAAGCAAAAAATCAAAACCAACCCAAGGCAAAAAAATAGGTAGAATACGAAACCAATGAGAGCCAGTTTGGCGTAGTGGTTCAAGGCACCAGCCCGAAACCAGGTGGCCGTGAGTTTTAGTTGTGCCTTAGTCACAAAGCCAGCTGGGTGACCCTGAGCCAGTCCCTCTCTCAGCCCTAGGAAGAAGAAGGCAAGGGAAGACCACAGTAAAAAAATGTGGCCAAGAAAACTGCCGGGATTGTCCAGGCAGTTGCCAAGAGTCAGGACTGATTCAAAGGCATCTGCAAATACAAAACCAAAACCAAACCGAGACAACAAAAGAGCTGAGGTGCATAGCTGAGGCTAACACTCCCTCTCACCCGAACAGGTTCTTTCGCCGCCTTGGTGCAACGCACCGGAGAGAAGCCTGGGCTTAAGGCTCTACAAAAGGCTAATACGATAAAACATCTCAATACATCATTTTGGGGAATGCCTTTTAACTGGTTGGACGTTGTCCAGGATATGCTTATTATCGGAGGTTATGAAAGCACAACCAGCAAATAGTGGAAATGGAGCTTTGGGAATTTCCCCCTAGGGTGCCGCATCCCTCAGCCCCATTCCGGTTTTGGTGAAGATGAAGATGACGATTTAAACATTTTGTATGGCTGCCCATCTTGTTATCAAAGTAGTCTTCCATAATTTGGGGGTTCCTTGGTCAAAGGCTTGTGTTAGAAAAGGAGTTAATGCAGGCACCAGGCAGGCCTTCCTCGCGAGCGAATTCCTCCAAGTGGGGTGCCATTACAAGGAGTCCTTTAGGCCCACCAGCTTTTGGGGGGGGAGTTTGCCTGTTTGGCATCTTCTGCCAAAGAGAGAGGATGGCATGCTAGTGGCTGAATTTGGGGCTTCTTTTCTCTTCCACGGCTACAGTGGGAGCCCCAGCATCAGGGTCTGACCTGTGACGGGTTTCTGGAATGGAAGCGAACGAATGACCCCGAATACCAGGCTCAGGGTTTGGCGGTGTATCTCCAGGAGAACGGGATTGGTGAGGATTCCCCCCCCCCCATTCATTTTTGGGGCTGCCACAGAAAGCGTGGGGCGGTTCTGACCAACAGAGTTTCTTGCATTAGGCGGGGAGCGGGTCTTAACGCTCCCAGTTCCTGTGTTCTGTGATGGCGCATTGCTCCTCACCTCCCTCTGTTTCTCCTCCTCTTCTTCCAGCTTGTCCAAAATGCAAGTTCTCATATGCGTTGGCTCGTGGGGGGTGCATGCATTTCCAGTGTTCCCAATGTAGACATCATTTCTGCAGTGGCTGCTATGGAACTTTTTATGCCTCAAATGTAAGGATGCTCAGGGATGGGGTTGGGTTATGGGAGCCAGGAACTCGGTGCACGGTTGCTGTTAAATTCCCCCTCGTGGGTTTTGTAGAGATGGCCTTGGAGAACATATGCAAGGACCATTAGCGCAACACGAACTTGGCCTGGGAAAATAAGATTGTGTGAGAAAGAAACTTAAAAATACTGGAACTCTGCTTTATTGACACTGGTAATAACAGAAACTTGAAAGCCTGATGGTCTTTCTCTTCCCCCTCTCTCACTCCAAAAAAAGTCAAACCGGAGCAATCTTATCTTCCTGGACGGACGTCCATGTTTTGCTAACCATCGCTGCATACTTTGTTCAAGGTCATCTCTGCTGTTCTCTGTGGTTTTTATTTGATCATGTTTTCTTGTGCATCTTCCAAATTGCAGTTGCTCTTCACCTCTAAGGTGGGCCACGATTCAGTTCCGTGTTTTTTAGAGGAGGGGAGCTGGGTTGGAAAGAACATAAGTTGCCGTCGGTCACGAGCCTGTTGCAAAGAGAGGCTCTCGGACCTCTGTCTACTGGTGTTGCTGGATTTTTTTTCTGAATGCATGTAAATCGATAGAAATAGGTACACCATCCTTTTAAAAAAAGTCATAGTAAGATACAGGTTTCTAGTCCTTATGGATGGTGGAAAGAACCTGGCCGACACTGGCATGCAGATTACAAGAGAGTGGGTGATGGGTCGTGAATGTTCTGAGCATCTAAAAGAGCAGTTATAATTACAGGAAAACAAAGACGAAGCGGAATTACAGTCCAATTCAGATTTGGCAGGAATCAATCTGGGAACGGGCATCTGAGGTGGGAGTCAAAAAAGAAAAAATGGCTGGTGCAATCAAAGCCTTGCTTCCTTTACTTACATGGGCTGGGCTTCCATCACAGCCACCATCTTGACCTTTTTGACCCCCAGTGTGGACACCCCTGTTGGGAAAAATAGAGCAGTTATCTGAATTGATTTGTAGATTTGAACCTGAGTTTTTTTTTTTTTAAGTGAAGATAAAATGGTGGCTGTATGTTATTTTGGTTTGTTTAAAAAACCCCAAACCATAGAATGGAGCAAAACCCCAAAGTAATATTCTTATTCTCCCAGATGCACTGTCCATTCGACCCCTGGGACCGATGGTGCCTTTTTTAGTTCCCAAACCCTGCTTCTAAAAAGATAATTTGAATGGGCTTGCTCGACAGCTAGATTTCTTGGAGCGAGGCTTTGTGAACGAAGGTGATGGCAGGGCGGACTTTCCTGCGGGCAAATCCGTTACCCCAGATACCATTTCGTTCACATGCACACCACTACTCAACTGTAGGCTGGCCAATTGGAGAAGGGCCAACTGGACTTTTTCTGCAGGAGGCCAGGCTTAGCTTTGAGGCTCCTAGTTGCGGATTCAGTTACACACCCTCTTTTGACCAGATCAGGAATGTGAATCAGATAGTTTCACGGGGAGGGCAGGCAGTTCAAGCTGCCTCCCACCCTGGCCTTATTTCCATCTCTGCCAGAAATGCCCGATAGCCCAGTGCCCAATCCGGCGGTCCCTCCATGGACACCATCCACGCGACTGCCTCTTCTACCTGCGGGACTGGTCTGTGCCACGTCTGCAGCGCCTCTTACAGGTCAGCCCAGCCGAGCTCAGGGTGGGGAGGCTTCAAGAGTGGGGAGAGGGGTGGAAGAAGCCAGAGGCTGCAGAAGGCAAGGGTGCTTGGGGGACACGCTCCTTGGAAGGACCAGCTGGAACTCACTCTTGACCTCTCCCCGTCCCAGGATAACAACGTTGCCTTCAACACAGACCCCCCAGCAGGGACCCGTGCCGCCCCTGGAGGTAGGTGACAAAGTTCCCAGAAAATCCAGCTGTCACAGGATGGCTTCATTTTAAGTCCTGAACGAGAGATTTGTTATCTCAACTTCAAATATTTTATTTTATTTACTATTTTTTTATTTTTATCTTTATTATTATTTTCTTTTTCTTTTTATTTCAATTTGTATAGCCGCCCATCTTACATTTCTGACTCTGGGCGGCTCACGTAATTAAAACAACCAAATAACACAACCAGTAAATACAGAAATCAGTAACAAACACAATGCTCTCCCCTCCTTAAAACCCAATTAAAAACCAAATACTGTTGCATTGCAGCAGTGTTTCTCAACTTTGGAAACTTTAAGATGTGTGGACTTCAACTCCCGGAATTCCCCCAGCCAGCATGCGTGGACTTCAGTTCCCAGAACTCCCCAGCCACCATGCTGGGGAATTCTGGGACTTGAAGTCCACACTTCTTAAAATTCCCAAAGTTGAGAAACACTGCATTACAGAAGGGAGAGGTTTCTCATGAAGCTGTAATGGGGCACCCCTTCCTTTTATTTGTCTGTGTTTTAAATATTTGCATGCATCTGTGATGTCATGCATTGCCAAGAAGCATGCCAAACTTTTTTGTTAAGGCCCCACTGTTGTTCCATTCACAACCTTCCACCTTTATGCCTTCTGCCTGGCCTTTTCAGGTTCTTGGTGCAAAGATTTCCTCTGAGCCTGGGAAAAAGCATTTCTGAAAATCTTGCAAGCTGCAGAACATCTGGAAATTCCTCCCTTATCTCGTAAATGTTCATCTACAACTCCTGTTCCTCAGCAGCAATGAAAGCAGTTCTGATCTGGCTAATTCAGTGATAAAAGCGGTTGTAAACGTGAAAGGGGTTAATTGTTGGAATTTATTAACTTTAAGCTGCTTTTTCCCTTTCAGCTGTAGATAAAGAAGTCTCAGCCAGACTCTTTATTTTTTTAGATTGCTATCCCACCTTTTTTTTTTTTTCATATACAGCTCAAGGTGGCAAACGTACCTCATACTCCTTCCTCCTCCTATTTTCCCCACAATAACAACCCTGTGAGGTGGGCTGGGCTGAGAGAGGGGGACTGGCCCAAAGTTCCCCAGCCGGTTTTGGGTTTTGGTCTTAAGATGTAATCGGCTATTACAAGTTTGACAGATCCCGTTTCCAAGCAACACCTAAAGATGCTGTGATTCAAAATATTTCCTAAATAAACACTTCTGTTAAATTCATTCAACCCTTTAGAAATGGGTGTGGTAGGCAGTTTCATTTAAGAGTCCGTTTCTGGTTTTCAGCCACTGCCTAAAGTTTGCAACGGTGGTTGGGTTTTTGCTCAGTTGCCTCCTCAATTCTGATTTTTGCCCTGTAATGCTTTTGCCAACGATTGTGATAAAAGGCCCACAAAAAGCCATTAAAATGAATTAATAAAAAATAGACCGAATTGTAGGAAGAAATTTGCATGCTTTAAATATCAGGGGCTCCTTCTGTATGCAGGCGGATGCCGAGTTATGGAGCAGAAGGAAACCATGTCAGGGTTGAAGGATGAGCCGTGTGGGAAAGAGACCCCGGCTGAATATGCCGGCCTTTGCGAGTGAGTAAAAATCTTTTAAGGGGAGTCAGAAAGTCATGGTCCTTTCCTAGAATTCCTCGCTGCAGTCCAGCAGAGCTAAGTTATACTAGGTTGGGAGAAGCAACATCAGTCTGGCTGCAGAGAAGGCCAACGACGTCTTGAGGACCATCAAGAAGAATGTAGAGTCAAGATTGCAGGAGGTCATCATCCCGCTCTACTTGGCCTTGGTCAGGCCTCCCTTGGGGAATTGCGTCCAGTTCTGTACAACCCAGTTTCAAAAGGACATTGAGAAACTGGAGCGAGCTCAGAGCTGGGCTGCCAAGAAGGTGAAAGATCTGGAAACCAAGTCAGTGAGGAATGGAGAAAAGACTGAGGGATGTTTAGCTTCCAAAGAGCCGCTCTTTGAGTGAGATGGGCAGTGACTAAATTTCAGATGATAGATAGATAGATAGATAGATAGATAGATAGATAGATAGATAGATAGATAGATAGATAGATAGATAGATAGATAGA